CATCGTTTTCGATATGCTGATCCTCATGTTCAGTTACTAAGCCAGGATTCGTCATATCTGTCAAATTTTCTTTTCCAGCTTCATCACTCGCAATGTCTGTTAATTGATGATCCTAAAAAAAATTTCTATGACATTGTCCAGATAAAAGTAATCTACCTCTTATAAAAATTCAAATTTAAGATGATTACATTAATCATGTGTTCTTTACAGTCCTCAAAAGAATGGAAGTAGTTGGAACACTCCGCACACATATAAACTATTTTGACTTCATCCATTTTAGATTCTTCCTTTGGCTATATATAATAATAAAAGTAAGCCAATTTTTATATTGCATTATAAGCTTCTGCTAAGCAAAATACAGTTACTTTGATTAAATTTGTGTGAACTACAGTTTGTGTTTAAATCTCTACTTACTGTAATATCTATAGCAGAATTTAAATGTAATTTCTGAATGTGATCTAATAATTGCATCTTGTCCTGAGATAGGTAAGTACACATCTTGCACTTAAAAGCAGTCACAACTTCTAAGAAATCATCGACGTTAACATTGTCATGTTGCGCAACAAGATCTTTCCCTGGTTCCTCTGTAGAGACTTCGAATTGCTCCTCAGATTGTCTATATGGACTTTCGATTACTAGATTCTCATTGGTGATGTAGTTATTTTCGTTATTTTCCACATTCTTTGAAATCAACAGTGCCTTTTCATTGCAACTTTGTTCTACAGATTGAAGGTTGGTATCCACCTCTTCAATCAGTCCATTTTTAATTGCATATATCTGTCCATTTAAACACACTAACGAAATTGGTTCTTCTTCATTGACTAACTCACTTCCCTTGGCAATATCAACTGTAGTTTGATCTTCACTTGCTACCGAATTCTTCATAATATCCATTGTTGATGGTGCAAATTTGTAAATATATCTTGTGCCGTTTATGTCACAGCTTAAATAGGATGTGTCTTCGTTTGTGTCTTCACTCATTGCTGATGGAGAATCATAGAATAATCTGATTGAGTGTCAACATAAACATTCCAATATATTTACACAATGAATTTAACTAGGATGTTGTTAGCAACACAAATTTCAATGCATGAATCACTTCACCTAAATTTTGTCGTAATGTCTTTTTTTCTTGTTCTTAAAAAAAAAATTTAATTTTATTACATCTTATATAAACTATTATATAAACAGATTCATATTATGAGTTCAAATTTATAGTAAAAGTCAAATTTATAAACAGTTATTACCAAAACGGTGAGCGCGATAAATTACGCGGAATCGTTTCAATATTTGCTAATTATATCCATTGCGAAATACGCGTAAATATTAATCAACAAATGTACGTGCATATGTATACGTACATGCAGCATCAATACGGAATGAGGTTATCTTTGCGAACTCTAGGCACTATTCGCTTCTGCTTCCACGGAGACAAATCGGGCATCACGCGCGACGAAACTAAAGCGGAAAAAACAAGGAGATACATTCGCGAAGATATTCGAATTTTATTCAAATTCAAAATCGTGTCTCACAAAATACCTCGCACACGGCGTCTGGTTCGAGATTTCCGACTACGGTGGTATGCTCGCGCGCGGAAAGTGACAGGGGGAGAAAATCGCCGGTGAGGCGCGAAATTCAAAAACACAAATTCAGTGGCGAAACGGTTTGCTTAAAGCGGAAGTTGTCTTATCGGTCTAATTAACATTTTTTTGCAATGAATTTATTTACAGTTTTTCGACATATTAACATCTGTCTAATAGAATGCCTGATTGAATTATTAAATTGCTTATTATCAATTTAATTTGTAATATTACTACAGTAGTCTAATCGAATTGAGTTTCAAGATCCAAAATAATTTCAGCGCATAGTTTAAAAAGGATTACATATATATAAATTCACACGGAATTAATTCAGCACTAGCTTGATCATTTAGGATCCTTATTTTCTAATGTTGTGTTTTACATCATTTTACATATAACGAGGATATGCAAGAGACCGTATAAGGTTCTACTAAAGAAACCCTGTTCTTTTTAGCAAAAGTTCTTGCACAGTTCATCTTTCTTCCTTTTCTCTCCATGTTGGAGAGAAACAGAGAAAAAATGTGCTAGAAGTTTAGCTAAAAGAAAAACAGGCTTAACATATAAACACAGCATAAACATATTCAAGGTATTCTTTTTTAATTAAAAATATATTTCAAAAAAGGGCTACGAGCCATAAATAAACATATTACAGTAGCTAAATTACAATAAGACATATGAAATGTATTAAACCGATTAAACGTTTCGACTTTAAGAGATCAAGACATTTTCAATAACAAAAAACAAAAATAATAAAATTTACAATTTGCATACTTAAAATAAGATGGTTACAGATAAATATATTCGGTGGATTCAACAAATTTGGTTGACTAAAGTGCACTCCATGATAGCGTCGATGTAAGCAATGCTTACTTCTCTCCTTATAGTAATGTCGAGATATATTCAGCGCATTTGCAAAACTTGTTTACAAGATTTATTTATTTATATATTTTTATTCTTTACTCCACATTAATAACAATGATGGTCCAAGAGATTTACACTATTTTATTTATTCGGACTTAAACTTTTTATATTACGAACAATTTTTGACAATCTTGACCAATTTTTAACTTTGTACATCGACGCTATAGCCTTTCCCTTATATAATAACAATATAACAGTATTTTTTATATACATATATATATATATATA